TCTTAGAATACGAAAACATTGGTGAATGCCACATCCATCCATCCATCCATTTTCTGTGCACGCTCCTTTTCAGGGTCGCGTGGGTCACTGGTGCCCATTGGTGAATGCCACATCCATCCATCCATCCATTTTCTGTGCACGCTCCTTTTCAGGGTCGCGTGGGTCACTGGTGCCCATTGGTGAATGCCACAAATTCTCCTAAATCACTCGTACGCACAACTTAAGAACAAATCTGTGCGTACGAACGGTTCTTGCATGAGGCCCATTGTGTTTATTTGAAAAAGTCCTTTGGATCCATTTTCAGTATAAGAGTTGTGCCACAATAAATATGTAGCTCTGTGTAACATGCAGTCACAGGATGAAATCTGTTGGACTCACCGGTGATTTTCCCGTTGGCTTCGGAGGGCGGCTGCCAGTTCACTATTATGGTGCGAGGCTTGTTCTCTTTGCTCACCACAGTCACATCTTTAGGGGCCGAGCTGGGAACTGGGACGAAGACGGAGAATCAAAATGAGCTTTTATTTATTTTTTTTAAACAGGTAAACTAATTTTACTAGTGTGAATAAAACCATCTATGTATTTCTATAGTCAACTCTCAGCTCATTATGCATTTTAAAGCATTGTCTAGACTTGACCTGATACAACTTCCTAGCTCGTTTGTTTGACAAACTCCTGGCTGGGATGAAACGACAACTTTTTTAAACTATAGTTAGAGCGTTAAAGAGTTAATTATCTGTCCAACCAGCCGGGGGCTCGTCACCCTGCAGGTGTTTCTCTCCTCCATATACAGTGAATGGTTTGTGTGCTGCTGGTGTTTGTGGTGTTTACTGGTCTCCAGGGTGGTGCCCACGGCGGTCATGCTCCACGTGCTGAAGCGGCGGCCTTTGGTCACCATGACGGAGAACTCGTACTGCGTGTTGGGCTTCAGACCCGAAACCACGTGGCTCAGAGTGGTGGAGTTGGCCATCTGAGGAGAGAAAGACAAAAACACTCAGAATACACTTAAAAAGTACAATTTAACACTGAATGATGGGAAATTCCCTTAGTTTGAGTTTATTGAGTTTATTCAGCCACTTCTGCATTTTTGTTCAAACATGGCCTAAAACACAAAAGTGACTTTTTTCTTAATTCATAAAATAATAGTTTTTGTTTAGATCCTTTTTTTCTAAATGATGAAAAATGAACATTTTAAATAAAAGCCTAAAATCCATCACTTTTCATGCTAGAATCTGTAAACTAAGATAACTTTACATTACTAAATTATATCAACAAAGATCTTACACTTAGAGTTAGTGCTGTGAATGACTCTCAGCTACTACCACACTCAATTTTAACCCACCATCTGTATGTCCATAAACCATTGTTGTGTTGTGTTTGTGTTGTGCACTAACTGTTGCAACCCTCTTGAACTGGATTGACCTCAAACATTAATCTATACAGACAGTAAATGTACAGTGTTTACTTTCTGAAAATGTCAGTAAACTTTGTTCAGTGATTCATGAAATATTTTGCACGTCACACATTTTCTTTTAACAAAGAATTGCTTGTTTGACAAACCCAGTGGCAGGGCTGGCATTTGATCAACATGTTTGAAGCATATTATAGTGATCAGTCTCACAGCTCAATATTTATACCAGTAGTTAAAGTTATGCCCATTTTTGTGTTTWTGGTTGATCAAATATGGCGGCCATTTTAAATGTAGTTGACCTAAAACAGGAGAGCCTGCAGGATTTTATCGGACGGTACCCACAAAACCATCACCGCCTCTGAACCACAAAAATGAAGGCCACGTGCACGCCATGCGCATGGCCAACAAAAACAGCAACAAGACACCACGCACCTGAACAATGCCACACGAGCGCGATATGCAGAAAAACAGTGCATCTGTCCCACACAAGGACCAACGTACACATGCACACTATGTCCCACTATTCACTGTCAAATTACAAAAAACTAAAAAAAGAAACTAAAAAATCAGCAAATGTTATTTAGTGGCTTCRATTTGTCCGCGGGAGGAGGAGGGAGATTCCCAGGCTCAGGTGTCTGTTACATCCAGACAAGGAGGTGAAGCGACAACATTTGCATCATTTCTACTCTTTTTCCTAATCATTTTGACGAGACTTAACCATTTAAAAATCTGCACACTCAATTTTAGTTAGCTTCACTGCACAGTTACAGTTAGCTCATGTAAATAGCACCAGGCCAGTCACCAAACAAACAAAAAACTAACCAATTAAATGTTAGTGAAGGACGCATATGCCCACCCGCACAGACACACACAGATGAACGTACAGGACATTTTGATTTGATTTGATTTGATTTGATTTATTGATTTAACAGGAAAAGATTATTAAAAATCAAGCCTGACTCAGCATAAYTGYTGTTTTACAGCAGGTTCCTGTTCTGCAGCACATAAAACACTCAGAATTACAGCATCACAATCACATCATTATACACCATGGATACAAAGACAAACAAGCATACCAAATTTCAGGAAGGCAGCATTTGCAAAATAGGACGTCTAAATATGAGCACAACAAAAAGTGTCCAGCAGATGGCAGACAAGATTCTTCTTAAAGGGCTGTAGTTTTGAAATGGACTTTATTGTTTTGAGGAATGTCATTCCATTTTGACACAAAAAGTCATCTCTTATTTCATTTTGTTAACAATTTTGGTAATAAGTRGGAAAAATCAATTTAAAGTAAAATAATTATAATAAAATATTTATCTTAACTCAAAGGAAATTCTCAGAGTACGCTGCAGGCGCCACAAACCTCAAAAGCTCTCAATCATAAATAAACGTCTTTCTGGTGGTTCATGAGATATTTTGCTAACAGAGGCACGTGTGCAGACAGTCTCAGTAACAAAATACATAAAGCTTAGCACAAAATACAACAAAAACAAAATCAAGACAAATATTAGTCTAAAAATATGCATGTTAGGTTCCCTTCAGGCCCAGACCTCCTTTGAAAAAAAGGATCKGTGATCTCACTGGGATTTTCCTGGTTAAATAAAGGTTAATACTATTCCCTTAAAAACAAACTACTTCAAAACTACTTTAAATTAAAAAAAGATAATTAAACCAGAATTGCTCTGTCCTGCAGCTGTCATTTAATGTAGCTCGTCCAGCTATATTAGCCCAGTAATAACAAAGAATATCTTAAAGAAAGCATCTTTTTGCTGTATTATCAGCATGTGTGGACTGAAAAACAAACTGTTTGGTGGAGTGCTGCTAAACAAGACCACAAACTCCAGCCTTTTTACGAAACAAGCAAAAAGCCTTGGTATACCAAATCAGCTGGAAAGCCACAGCAAAACACTTTACCACATAACTGCATGGCAACCATACCAAAAATCATGACTTATGCAACCATTTATCTTGCTCTCTGCCAGCTCGAATCGGCTTAAAAAAAAACACAGACAAAAACGAGACTGGTGGGAGACAAGTTCGCCAGTGWTGTCGCTTTGCCATGACAAAAGTGCAGCTCTCCGCTGGGGGCTGTCAAACGGAGGGCAGTAGGGTAGGACAGGAAACCACTCTGCTCACGGCCGGTTTAAGAGCAGTCATCCCCTCAATAATGCACAAGCCTGTCGGGTTAGACTCGATCTAAAAGAGGCGTTAGGGTGAAGGCTCTTCTTGCTWATGCAGCTGTAAAACAGTTATTCTCACACAAAAACATCTCCGTGTGTACAAGAGGACGTTTCCTTTCAGAGGCTTCTTTATACGTTTTCCTTAAACGGAAGAGAAACTTAATGAGTCRGGACAGATCTTTAATTACAGCCTCGTTTTGAGAATTAAACTCACGTTGGCGGATTCGCTGCGTACGTTTAGCTTGCTCTGAAAGACAATAAATAAAACATAAATCCTTTTGGATAAATGACAGGCTTGTGCACAAAGGCCATCAGCTGACAGAAAGCTCCACAGAAGCATTCTGAGTGAGACTTCTACTTCATCTTATTTTATWTTTTTGTCTGCGTTCATCTGTTTGTACTCGTCTGTCCCATGAGTTGGCTATACGAGGAATGCAGTGTCAGATCTACACCCTCTGGGTTTTTTTTGTTTGTTTTTTTTGCCCTGCCTCTCACTTTGTCTTGTCCTTGTTGAATAATTTATCAGTAGACACAGGCCTTTATCTGAGCTCTGCTTGGTCACAGGTTTGCACACAAGCATGAAACCACACAAAACGTGCACACATAGGCACTGTATGGAAACTAGAATGATAATGTGATAATGCATTATACAAACTCACCAGGTTAATGGCACTAAAATCACATTTTCGTGACTTGATAATCTGCTATTTTTACATTACCGTACGACTAAAATTGTTTTCAATAGGAAAACTTGACGAAAAAGAAACAAATAACTAAAAAACTTGGGCTTACTTACAGACAAACTGTTGTACCGTGAAGAGATTCAGGCGTACTGAAGTGTGCTGGATGAGGCTGAGAAGTGTTTGTACAATAAAACACACTGAAGCATTAAAGAAATCCTGCAGCTCTGCTTATCAAAAKATGCTCATAATCATGCCGCGCTCACCCAGAGTAATTATTCTCACTTTACAATCCAATACATTTCCAAAAACCCTACAGCGCACTCATCAGAATCATCCACTTTGCTAAATAAAATGTATGTGAGTGCAGCAGCCTGAGCTCTCTGCTGGTTTCCTGTGCAGTTTTTTTTTTTTTAGCTGTTTTATCGATATTTTAGTTTTGTTAAATCTATAGCAAAGTTATGGTTATTGGCAGCTAAAACAGTAATACCCCTGAGCCGTTGAGATGCCTAATCTGCCATAGGATGTTTGCAACAAACTGCTTTCATTTTTAAAATATACCTTTTGCATCATGCTGTGCTGCTGTCTGTTCTGAGCTTTGAGGGCAAAACACACCAGCTCCTTATAGCATGAGCCAAAACAACCACTTCTGTTACTGTCTATCATAAACCTGAGTTCACACACACACACACGTTTTTATATACCCGTGGGGACCGTGGATTGACTTCCATTCATTTTCTGGTAATTTTATAGCCAAACCCTGAACATTTACTCTAAAATTAACCTCACAGGTACCTGACCCTAACACTAACCTCCTGACCCTA